CACTCCCGGCACAAGGAGGGCACGGCAGCACCGCAGTCTCGGCACAGTTTATTTCCTTGACTCTCAGTAACAAAAAAAACAAACAAACTAGGTATTCTTTCCCCCCACCCCAACCGCCTGCTCAGGCCCCTCTTCGGCTCAAACGTCGTAGTTGGGGTTCTTGCGTAGGATAACAAACCCCTCCAGGATCGGCGTCACAGGCACGTGCTCCTCTGTGGCCAGCTCTGCCCGCTCCCCGTGTGCCAGCAGCACCGGTGTCGTGTGAGTCTGGAAGCCCGTGATGGTCTTGGGCTTGCCCGCTTGGCCCACCACATCCACAGCCTGCAAGAGAGGAGTGACGTGAGAGCTGGGGACACCAGAGCACCCCACCCTAGGCTCTGGCTGCCCCTCACCTGTCCCACCCGCACCGACACGGGCAGAGGCCGCAGCTCCTCATTGAAGGCGACCAGCATGCGGGGCTGCATGGCAGCAACGAGCCCGTAGAGAACGTAGTGGGACTTGCCCAGGATAACTGGAATAGTAGAAACACAGGATCATTAAGACTAGAAAAGACCCCCAAGATCAAGTCCAGCCACCAACCCAACACCGCCATGGCCACTAAATCATGTCCTGAAGCACCACATCTACATGTTTTTAACATCTCTGGGAATGGCAACTCCACCACTTCCCTGAGCAGCCTGTTCCTCACCACTCAGTACAGAATTTTTTCTAAGATCCAATTTGAACCTCCCCTGGCACAATTTCAGGCCATTTTCTCTCATCCTATCACTAGTAACTTGGGAGAAGAGACCAACACCCACCTCCCTACAACCTCCCTTTTAGATAGGTGTTAGACAGTGATAAGGTCTCCTGTCAGCCTCCTCTTTTCCAGACTACGCAATCTGAGTTCCCTCCCTCTCCCATCCTGGAGGGGAGACGAAAGTGAAGGGCTGAGCAGTGCCCACACCATAGGGCAGAGGGGGCCAGCACCACAGTACTCACTGTTGCGCACATCCAGGAAGGACACGAGGACAGTCAGCAGCCCAGCCACGGCCACCTGGCTCATGAGCTGGCGATCACTGTGGTAGGGGCACAGGGTAAGTGTTCCCTTGCCCAGGTGTGTCAGGCCCTGGTGTGGCAGAGAAAGCATGTGAGAACATGGTGGGATAACACCTCAGACCCCCAGCCCTGCCCAACGGGAGGGGAAAAACACTGCCCTCCTAATGCCCAGGACAGGAATCCAAACCTGCCCCTTTCCCGCCACGAGCAGCGAGCACAGGATCATCACCTGGGCCAGCCGCACCATGAAGAGGTTGTTGGGGTCCTTGGCGTGGTACTGGGCAAGCTGCCGCAGCATGGCTGCCAGCCGGGCGTTGTTGGTACCTGGGGAAAAGGGGGTGCAGGCAGAGAGTGCAGGCTTGGGGCTCCCACCTTCTCCCCTGCACAAGTCCCAAACTGGGGTGTCCCCCAGGCTTACCGCTGCCCACCATGCCCATGGCAAAGATGGAGTTGTAGGAGACCTCGGGGTCAGCATCGTGGGAGAACTTGCTGAGGGTGTCGAGAATGTTGAGCCGGGGGTTGGAGACCGAGATCAGTGCCAGAGCCAGGGGCACAGCACGGCGCAGGGTGGGCTCCCCATACCGCAGCTGCACAGAGGGGAGGTGGGTGTTAGACCCAGCTTAAGGGCAGCAAGGTCTACAGAGCTGTGAGACAAGATCCAATCGCTATTCCCAGTTCCCTTCCCAGCTCTGCGCTGTCACCTCCAGTGTCACTCACCAGGTGGCCAAACGTGCGCAGGGCCATCTCGGCACCGATCTCCTCGCCCATGGCGATGAGTGCGATCCCCAGCACCGCTACACCCTGCGGGACACGGACACTGAGCATCAGGCAGGGAGCACCCAGCCTAAACCCCAAGTTCTCACAGACCCTGTGCCCACCCTGAGCCCAGGGGACAGGGAGAGCTGGGGCTACTGCTGGGGGATGTTTTCCCTCCAGCTCTGATCCCGCAAGTGCCTTAGGAACCACCCCAAAGCCAATTTCTGCACCTGGGACATGGGTCCCAGCCCACATTTCCCTACCTGGTGAGCCCCCATGTCAGCTGAGCTCTCTTTCTTCTCCTTCT